ACATTAACACACCCACAGGGGTTAATATTTGAATAAGGAACTTTATTTTGAAATGACTTTTCCTTTTTAGGAAAAAGTTACTCCGAAAATTCGAGAATTAGCATCACTGAAAAACGAAGGGAGGTTGCATTGGAGTTAATACCGTTGGATTATACGAAAAGTCGTCTTCTTACCATCCTGCAACCACATTTATTTTAAACTAAGCTTTTGTTTATCAGGTGACAGGCATTGTCAGAGCGGGAAACCATCATTCACAAAAAAACGCACCAAGCAGAATTAGAAAAGTAATATGTTTGGTGAGCATATGAACATACCACTGTCATGTCCTTTGGCCTTTGTTCAACTGAACACGGTGGAGGGGCATTTTGATACATAATTTCAGCAGCCAACACTAATTATTTAATACTTCGATGACGACTTTGCAACAGTGGCATGTAAAACAGCTATTGGACGAGTACTCTATATTCTTAATGGATATTTATGCAATAATCAAGCATACAACAGAAATGGTCAAGAACGGACAGATATATTGTTATAAGAGGAAGCTTAAAATGGTTTTTAAGAAAGGAATCACATGATGCAACAGTTCTAAATTTCCAGTCTCATACTAATTACTGACTTAAGATGGTATTACCCAGGAATGTGAAGGAGTATGGGATTTGCAGAACAGGAGCCCACAAAGGATTGTGAGTCGAATACATTGCTCACACGCTCAGCTGGGTATGCAGACTTTATGAGTAAGTGGAAGATTAGGGAACCTATAGAAAAAAAACAGCTAATACCCTGAATAGAAGGAATATGTATAGAAACTAACTGAAAACTACTTTTGTCAATTAAATAGTATTAGAGAGAGAAAAAAAGCGCGCGCGAGAGAAAGGATTAATTAGCCTTAAATATGGTTTTCACGTTCACGTCCCAGCGTCTCACGAGCATTGCATGCAATCACATGAGCCAACATTGCAGCATCAAAGATAAAAATGATTTGCGCGAAGATGCAGCTCTGCAGTTATAATTGCATCAATTTCACGCTTCATCTGCAGCCACTTGACTTTTTAGCAAAAATTTAAGCACTGTCAAGTTTCGACTCCCGCTGGGGGT